TAGTAAGACCCCATTACCACCTATAGAACCAGAACAGGGGATACCAGTTTGCACCCTAGATAAGTGTTCATTCCAGGCAAATCAAAGTAGTTGGTCACCCCAACACTACTCTTTAAATCCTAATGAAGGATTAACTCACGCATTTACTTCGTTTGTAAAATTCTCATGACTTCCTCAGTAAAATCTGAATGGTCAGATTTGTGGGAAGAAGAAGAAAAATACACTGTGAGCTGTTCTCTAGCTCTCAGACCCAATGCAAGAGCAATGTACTGGCTACACAACCTCCCAGCTGCAGAATTTGAACCCTGCTGGCCACACCTGCAAGAACCCTATCCCATCTCGTCTCCTCCTCATCCCTCATCTGGCAGGAAAACTTTTGTTACAGAGCTCATGGGCTTCAGGATTAGAGGAAGATAGCACTACATGAGCCAATATGGTTGCTTATAGGAACACTGTCACCTAAACTGGTAAGTGGGCACCTGGACCCACATATGAGTTTTACCCTTACCCCCCCCCCGCCCCACCCCGGCCAGTTCTTCTAAGCTTACCTGTCCGGCACAGACTCTCTGTTGAGTAGAAAGCTGATCTAGATGACGTGGGTTTTCCAAAGCTAATGTTCTGAGGTTCTGGTCCCAGGGAAACTCGGCTTCTCTATGCATGATGTTCATAGATGCGTCTTTCTAGATGTTTCCAGTCATTTTCCCTTGCTTGACTCACCATCTTGTCCCATACCCTCAGAGCATTCAGGATGGCAGCTGCCCCAATGCAGGTAGAGCTGGGCTAAGGTGGGAGGAGCTGGACTCACTTGGGACAGTGTCCCCTGGGGCAGCAGCCAAACAAAAGTTCAGCCTGGAGTGGTTCTTCATGGGTAGATCAAGGGGGGCAGACTGTCATCTCAGTTGGGTTCTTTAAAACCAACCAACCAAACAAAAAAACTCAAACCCAGAAACTGACTGGATAAAACTGACTGGAGTTTTTGAGAAAGATATGAAGGATTTCACAGAATGAATCCCCTCCAGCCATCTTTGGCTTCATGTCTGTCTGGCTACACACCAAGTTCCCTGGATTTGGCTGGGAGACTATCAGCAGTACCTAATGGTGAAGGGTGGGCTTTCAGCAGGAGAAAGCTATTTGGCCAAAAGAAGATGCTGTGGACAATGAACAGGCCAAACACAGATACTGTTACAGGAAGACTTCTCTGGTGGTCTGCTCAGAGGAATGGCCCTAAGGCCCATTTGGATTCCAGAGCAGGGGCCAGTGGTGAACTTGGCAATTCAGAGCAAAACTGGGTAGTGCACTAGACAGTACACAATCAGAAAGTGTTTCATCATAAAACCGACAATGTCCTCATAGAAGAAACAGAAATCGCAGGAAAAAAATCTAGAGTTGAGAATTTAGTCATTGTGTTGGGGCTGGGGTTGAACCCAAGGCGTCATGCATGAGCTCTGCCACTGAGCTCTACCCAAGCCCCAGAAAAGAGAATGGAAAAGCATCTATAATCCTACTTCTCAGAGATAACCACTGCTGTTTTTTCTGGGTGTTTCTTTCCTTCTATAGATATGTATGGGTATGCACATATACATATATATATTCAGATGACACTGGAGTTTGAACTCAGGGCCTCATGCTTGCTAGGCAGGGGCTCTGATCGTTGAGTCACTCTGCCAGCCCTCTGGCAGTCATGTGTGTATAATTTTGTTTTTGGTTATGGACTGTATATTGATCTGTAACGGCTAGAGTACCACCTTTGTAACATTGGCCTAGTGAGTGGACTTGATCTGTAGCTGTCCTACCTGGTGGAAAAGCAGAAGGGACCTTTTTCAGCCCATACTTCTGCCAATACTGGGAACCAAGCAAGTGTTTCCCAGCTTGGGAAGTTTCCAAGACCTGCCCTCCATTCCAGAGAGGGTTTTAGCTGGATGCCAGCTGAAGCATATGGGAGCTTCCATGGACACAGTCTTATGTAAGGAGGGTCCCCCACATCTGTGTTAGAGCCCACGGGAGCACCTTGTGTTCATGCTTCTCATGCTTCAAGATGCTGTGCCTGTACATCACCCTTCTGGGGTTTATCAGATTCTATGTGAATAGATCACATTTCCATCAAATCTTTTAAAAGGAGGCCTTATCTTTGTTCAGTCACTTGAAATGTCAAGAATACTCTTCATGGGGCTGGCAGAGTGGCTCAAGTGGTAGAGTGCCTGCTTAGCAAACGTGAGGCCCTGAGTTCAAACCCCAGTACCACCAAACAACAACAACAACAATAACAAAACCAAAAAAAGAAAGAAAAAAAAAAGCTTCATGGGCTGGGGATTCACAAGGCCCTGGGTTCAATCCCTAGTACCGCCAAAAGAAAAAAAAAGAATACCTTTCATAATGGAGTGAATTCACTAGGAAGGTGGAATAATCCTAGAATCCCAATTGAAAGAAATATAGCCACCACCATCTTAATAATGTGCCAGATAGATTCAGATGTGTGTATTTAAGCTCCTGAACTTGTGTATTTAGCAAGTTAAAACTGACAGCTTGTCTGTTTAACCTTTGCTGACATTTGTAAGGGATGGAATTCATTGCAGGAAGAGTTCAGAAGTCTGTCACTTGGAATTGGAGCTCTCTGGACAACCCTGAACTTAATTCAGGAGAGCATGACCATGGTCCTATGGACCGAGTCCACCCCTCAGAACTTCATAGAAACACTCTGGAATGGTGTCAGCGTTTGTGCATGAAAGGGAATCATTGAACTTTGCTGTCTGATTCATTCCACATGACTCAAGAGGCCAGTCTGCCATTTGAGTACCTCTTGGGGTGTTGTGGTCTTTGCTAAGCCACTTCATCTATCCTAGGTCAAGCCTGGGGAATGCTGAGCCACTAGGAGCATTAGTGAAACACAAGGGACTATAACTTAGGGTGCTGTAGTCCTTCTGGTTACTCCCATGAGCCTTTCACAAGCTCCTTTACTTCCTGATATCCAGTTACTTTGCCTCAGTAGTTTGCCTCTGCCCTCTTCTGGTGCTCCAACTCTCAATGGAATTGTGGTTCTCTGATTTATAACTCTAGCTAGCTTTCCCTCATAGTCCAGTCCAATTTATCCACTGGCCACTGTACATTTCTACCTTAAAGTTGTCACTCGTACCTTCTGTTTACCTCCAAAGTTATTTCTCTTCCTATGTTTCTTGTCTCAATGGCACCATGAGACTGACAAGCTAGAACCTGAGAGTCACTACTCATTCCTACCTCCCTCCATTCTTATTCTGTTCATTAAATTCTGTTTAATTCACTCATTTGGTTGTTCACTAAATAAAATTTAAGCACTTACTGTGTGCCAGACACTGTGTGAGGTATCTATACTGGTGAGCAAAAAGAGTAGGGTCCCTCCTCTCCTGACTTTTAGTCTAGTTGAAGAAATGGATAAATAACATTATGAAATATGTACATAGATATGAGCATTTGGAGGTGGTGGGTGAGGGACAGAGATGGTTTCCCCAAGAAGGGATGTGTAAGAGGAGACCTAATGGATGTCTCAGGAATTAAGTAGATCCAGGCACTGGGTGGGGAATTCAATTTCCAAGCAGGCAGAACAGCTGTGTTTAAGTCCTGAATGAGGGACACAAAGTGAGGAATAGCCTTTAAGGAAGTGAAGCCTTAGGGGAAGGCCATTGTGACTGTGTTGTGATGAATGACAGTGATAATGATGGCAGAGGAGACTATGGAGGGAGGCAGAGACCCTATTGTCAGCATCTTGTAGGAATTTAGTCCTTTTAAGGGGACAGAGAAGACTGCAGACTTTTAAGGAGAGAAGTGGGGTTGGTAGGTTGAGGGATGACAGCTTTATATACAGAAATCACTCTGGCTATAACGAGAATGGATTGGATGGGGCCTGAGTGGATATGAGGGGAAGCTGGCTTCCTCCTTGCCATCCAAAAGCCATGAACTAGTCCAGACTTTCAGACTTTCTCTGACCTACCGTTCAGCTTCCATCAATAGAAAACTGATGATTCTTCACTGAGCTCAAAATAAAGTTCAAACTCCTTAGTGTGGCCTATAAGTCCCTTCAAACCTGGTCCTTGGTTCCCTCTCCAGTGTCACATCCAAACACTTGTCCTCAAGTACCTTAGTCCATGAAAAGGGGAACTGAAAGCTAGAAGTAATTTGAGGGACAGGAGCAGAGGTACCACAAGCCAAATCTGAGGCTGAGTCTGTGGTCCAGGAGGTTGATCCAAATTAGAGCACAGGACTCTGGCCAAACTGGGATTGGGGGAGGGGTAAGGGGGTGATGGTGGTGGTGTCCGGTTCCACAAGTGTCTGGAATCAACACTTGGGAAGCACTCGGGGACAAAACACCTGGAAGCTTGAATGAAAGCCCAGAGATGTAGTTGGTGGGAGGTGGTGACCAATTAAGGACAGAACCCCCATCAACGGAGAACTAAGATTCCAGGATAGCCAGGAACCAGGCCTGATGGACAGTTGCTTCAGATGTGCAAGGCCCTGGGTTTGATCCCTAGTCCTGGGAAGGGGGGAGAGATGGGCAAGATTCAGAAGCACAAGTCACTTGAGGATGACTTGGTAGGAGGACAACTATGGGAAAGTTCTCTACATTCCCCCTGCCAGAATTCAGAGTGAGTCTTAGAGTAAAAGGGCATGGCCTTGAGTCAGGCCTGGAGATAAAAGGGCACAGAGACAGGAGCCAGGGAGTTCCTGCCATCACCCACATCAAGATCACCAAATATAGTCACAGTCTTGGCTCATTCTTAGAGCACACACAAGTCAAGGACATTAAAGGTTAGTCCCTTGAACCTCAAAGAGCTGTGATTGTTGGGGAGACTTCCAGTGTCAAGATGAATGAAATATCAATGTTAATATGGCTCTGAAAGCAGCTTTGTAACTTTAAGGAGGGTCTCTGCAGACCCTAGACTGTGTACGGTTCACATGGTAACCAGAAGACTATGACATACTTAGAGGGTGGTGAGGTCATAGAACACAAGCTTTAAAGTAAGTGAACCATGTGTGCCTGATTTAATTTTAAAAGAAACCTCTGAGAAGAGCGTAGAACAATTTTTTCCCCCCGAGTGCCATTTCCCAAAGGTACTCACAGAACAATAAGGTGTGACTGTGATGGCTGCACTGAGTTGTCTTTTGGACAGTGTTAGAAGGGACATAAAGAAGGTGGACAGAGAATTAAGACAATTGCGATGCATCGACGAACTCAGCACACGATGCCTGTGTGACCTCTACATGCACCCGTACTGCTGCTGTGACTTGCACCCCTACCCATACTGCCTGTGCTACTCCAAGCGGTCTCGCGCCTGCGGCCTGTGTGACCTCTACCCGTGTTGCCTGTGCGACTACAAGCTGTACTGCCTTCGCCCGTCCCTGCGCAGCCTGGAGAGGAAAGCCATAAGAGCCATCGAGGATGAAAAGAGAGAGCTTGCCAAGTGAGATTTGTAGAGTTTGGTATATCAGCCTTACATGTTGTAAGAATGGGGGGGAGGAGGGGCAGGTGTGTGACAATTGATACTTGAACAAAGGTAAAAAGATTCAAGATAATAATGACTTTGGTGACTTAGGGAAGAGATAAGAAGAGCAAATGGGTCCATGGTGGGAATTGTGAGCATCTCCACAGAGAAGGTAACGAGGGTGATTGGTAAGGTTGGTGGTGGTTTAGAGTAAGGTGTCAATGTGATAAATAAGGTGGCTTTAATGAGGGAAAGAAATAGGGGGTGTCATTAAAAAGCTATTGGAAGCAGCAAGCTCAGCACTTTTCCTGGTTGTGATTAAAGTGGTTTGAGAATATTTGGACTTAACAGAAATGACTACAGGAAAAGTAATAATAATTGATCAGATCTTTCATGTTTGCTGGAGGCCTCAGGAGCAGGAGCAAATTGAAAAATAGAGGGTTTCCTCAGTTTTGTAGGAAAATTTCTCTCCCATCTGCCAACTCCAAGCAAAGAGTTTAAAGTTTGTCTGGCCTCCCCTCAACCCTACGAAATTTGTTCAGATAAACCATAGACCTGAGTTGCAGCCCTCATAATAGACTTGAAAGGGGTTTTCTTTCAGTTGGTAATTAAAAATTTTTTGTTTTATGTTTTCTTTTTTGACTGAAGAATGTTTCTATCTTTCTACATATGTCTTTAGTCTATGACTACTGGTGAAAAAGATGGCAGAAAGCTCTGTCGCCTGGTTGAATAAATTATGGTATATCCATACTTTGGAATAGCATGTATATGTAAAAAGAGTTGATGAGGTGTTCTATTGAGTTGATGTATTAAGTAAAAGAACAAGGAGATAAATAAGGGAATACTTATTGATAGGCATGGATAGGTAAGACGCATTGAGAGTACAGATGGATGATATATAGATGAATGGGTGGGGGAAGGGTGGGGGAGGTGAATAAGAGTCCCTTGACAACAGGGGCAGGAAGGGGGTGGATAAGAGTCCCTTGACAACAGTGACAATGATGTTTCACTGGAAAGAACAATAGGACAATTATTGTTGAGGTTGTGGTCACCGGATGTCAGAAATGGACTCATAATCTGGGGTCGACCTATAAATTCATCCACACTCTAAACTGTTTGTTTTTACTCCTTTTTAGGTATGGAGTTATATAAACTGCTCACACCATGAGGCCAGGACTCTTTAATATTTCGTCTAAATTAAAGTGTTCCTTGTGAGCAGGTCTCGGTCCCACCTTCCCCATACCTTTGATCCTTGAATACTCTGGATCCAAGTCCTTCAGCCTTGGACTACTGTCTTCTCTTCTCTTCCCAGAGTCCATAGGGAATAATGCCTCTCTGTCCTCTGCCCTCTGGCTCCCCTGGCCTCTTCTGGCCTATTTCTTGGCACACAGTAGACACAACTTCAAGCTTCATTCTCAGAAAGTAGATCAGACAAGAAGTAATGCTTGTGATGCTTTTCCTGACTGTGTCTGAGTGTTCTCTCTGCCAGCAGCAGCATGTCAAGCTGGTGTGTCTTCACATTTAATTCCTGGATCTCTGAAGGGATACCTCTGAGTACATTTCAGAAACAACCTCAGGCTTGCCCTCCTTTATCTCTTCCCAGCCACTTTTCTTCCCATTCATACACCTTGGGAAATTTCTGTGCTCTTATTTCTGACAGCTTGACCTTTCCCTCTCCAGAAGGGTTTAGTGTCATCTGTAAACCTAAATCTTCAATTTTTCTGAATAGGGGTGAAAATGTTAAGCTCTGATCCCAGCTCCAATCCCAGAGGACTCACACTGTTAATGTTTTTTTGGTTGTTCTTCCAGTGAAATGCCTCTTTTTTCTTATCTCTAAGCTAGCTCCTGACCCATGACTAAATGGATCCAGAAAAAATCATGTCAATTCAGTTTTTTTAAACAATCTTCCATTTGAAACCTTGCCCAAGGCTTTTTGAGTTTAGAATTCATATTCATATGACCTTGTACCCCTTTAAAGAATGCTAGAGTATTGGTTAGTTATGACATGTCTTTTCAGATGTCAGGCTGTGTTGTCTAGAAGGTTCTTTGTTCTTGGTCTTTAGTTGCCTGGGCCCTACTGAAATTATTTTTCAGTGTGAAAGTGAGTCTGCTCTTTTCTGGTTCTCCCTTTGCCAATACTTTTTTAAATCCCCTCCATAAGTTTCTTGAATATTCCCAAGAAACTGTTATTTGAATGATGTGGGTGGTGGTTTTCTTTTCTTTCTTTTTTAACACTCCTTTTTTTAAAAACAATTTTTTCCTTTTTTTTCCATACTGGTGTTTGAATTCAGGGCTTCATGCTTGGTAAGCAGGCATTCTACTACTTGAACTACACTGCCAGCCAACTTCCATTATTTCATTTTTTTTGGCAGAACTGGGGTTTGAACTCAGGGCTTCACACTTGCTAGGCAGGCGCTCTACCACTTTAGCCCACTGCCAACCCCTCTTATATTTTTTGAGTGACTGTTCCAAAAGACTGTCTTCCTTAGTAGAGACCCAGCTTAGCACTTTTGTTTATTTTCTTTGATATATTCCCTTTCCTTCCCCAGATTACCTCTTTACTTCCCAAACCCTAGCAGCATCCTGACTCCCCTCTTCTGGATTCAGAGGGGCTGCGGTAACTGTATTTGGTTTTCTTCAGAGAAGCCTTGCCACCAGCCTAAGTTAAGTTCACACCTGATTAGCCACCTCACTTCATAGGCTTCTTTCTCTGTGCTCTGCACTAAAGCGGAGAGGCAAACCCGGCCCTCCTCCATCCCGTCCTTAGGAGTCTATTATCTAATTAATTAATTAGTTATCTGCATATCTCACTCATGCCCACGCATCTTAACAAGAAATTTCCTTGAAAATTCCCACATGAGAGACGCCGTCCCAAAACTTCAAAAATCTGCCTTCTCATTTCTTTTCTTCATTCCTCTTCATGTTCTGAGTCTGACTCTTGAGTCGGTGAGGCTGATCCATGCTGGGCCTTCAGGCTGGTGAAAGGCTGTCCTTGCCTTGGAGAGAGAGCTCCTCGCTTCCCCCTGTGTCCTCAGAGAAGTGGAAGTGAGCCGGCCCCATTGTGTCCTCTCATCACAATCTCTTCATCCCCAGAGGTCTCAGAGCCCAGCACTCCTTGGCTACAGAACAAGGAATTGCTGTCCATCTAGGCCAGATGAAATTTTATTTCTTTATTCTTACAGTACTGGGGATTGAACTCAGGATCTTGCACATGCTAGGCAAGTGCTCTACCATTGAGCTATCTCCCCAGTCTCAAATGCATTTCTGTTATTTGGTTTGACCTTAATGTTTCATGATACAGGATTTAGAGTTTGGTCACTTAAAAGCCTCAGATTAAGGGCAAGTCAATTTGAGACTGGCACCTCCTGATGAAGAAGATTCAGACTTTATTGAGTGAAAACTATGTATGTACCTCGCACTTCCTACTCACTTAATCCTTCTAGCACCCCTGCGGACTGAGATTACTCTGTCATTATCGATGATGAAGCAGAGTCGGGGCAGTGCTCTTGGTCATTCGGGGGTGGTAAAGTCAAGATATGAAGCCATGTTTGCCAGAGTCTGGAATTCAAGTGTCTAAGCACCTGCCAGTGGTTCTCAAAACATGGCCCCCAGACCAGCATTGGTGGACTCTCACCTCCACAGCAGACCTGCTGAATCCGAAATTCTGGGGTGGAACACAGACACCTGAGTTAACGATTCTTGCAGGGAGACTCATGTACCACATGACCTGTTTGCTGTTGCTGTATGACATTTATCTCTTCCAAAAGTCTGGGGAGCTGGGTATGGTGGCACATGCCTGTAACCCTAGTATTCAGGAGGCCGAGGCAGGATGATTGTGAGTTCAAGGCCACCCTGCGACATCATGAGTCTGAGGCCAGCCTGGGCTACATGGTGAGATCCTGTCTCCAAACAACAACAGAGTTCTGGGGAAGAGGGAAAAAAGAAGGCAGAGAGAGTAGGCCAGTGAAGAGAAAGGAAGTGATATCTTGTGGGGGCGGGCAGGAATTGAGTTGATTGGGGCTTTGGAATGGGTCTACATGAAGAAGAAAAAGCAGAGTTTCCTAACAAAGCCTAGAGGAAGGTCTACTTCCTGTGCTTCGGGCGGGTAGTCATTTTCCACATCCTCATTACTTTATTCATCATAGGGCTGACACATATCTTCATGAAGATGGCTGACTGTTTAGCTCATCATTGCAGCCAGCAGCGTGTTTTGCATTCAGAAGCATGGTGGGATCTACAGGTGAAACTCAGCTTCAAGGAGGAGAGAAGGGGGCAGCATGGGGCACAGACACAGGTCCCTGCTGTTGGCAAGCTTCCCCCAGCTTTCCTACCAGGCTTTGGCAAAGAACCCAAGGGGCTGATGCCCCTGTGTCTTCTTAGCTTCAGCCCCATGACAGCAAGCACGGGAGGCAATCTCCCTCTGTCCAGAGCCCCCGAGAGCTGCAGAAAATCCCATTTGAGGTGGTGGGTATCTCACCAAGCCAGAGTCAAATTGCAAGTTCAGAGTTGAGACTGATGAGTAAAATGTGATTCCTGCAAGTTCCCTTAAACCCTCACGGCCTTGCAGATAACCACAGACCTGGAAGCAATAAGAAACCTGACCCAACCAAGAGTTTTAGGCAGTTTCCAAAGACTCACAGCTGTGAGTTCTCTGTGCAGTTGCTTCAGGGCCAAAGGAGCCAAAGCGACAAGAACAGAGGCAAAGGAGGAAGCCAACAATAAGATACACAAATCACACCTCAACTCAGATGTGTAACAGGAGGCAGTTCTGGGTGTTGGCTTTGAGGATAGATCTGGCTTCCAGAGGGCAGGCAGACTTGGTCTGGCAGAATCAGCTAAGCAATACTGGGAGTCCAGCAGTCCTCTTTGGGGTCCTTGGCCTCTTTTGTTAGGCCCAACGCCCATCTTTAACAGCAGGATTTGATGTTTCTCACCTGAACAAGAGTTTGACTCTCAGCCCATGCATATCCACCAAGGGAGATTCTTGAGACACCTTTAGAGTTACCCACTCTGCTCTGCTTCAAGTGATGATTCACACAGAGAGGGCATGGTGTCTAGAGTTTGAGCTGGTTCTCCACACCCTTGTGAGGTAGTCTCTACTTATTCACAGATTCCACAAGAACAGACACAAAACTCTCTCTTGGTACATGTACATAGAAATACACACTCACACACACACACACACACATGCACACAAAGTCTGACACCAAAATGTTAAGTGTTACATGAATATTTAAAAATACTTCATCTGCAGGTAGTTTGTATTTTCTGGGTCTTCTGCAATGAACTTGTACAACTTACATATAAAAAGTAAATATTTAAATAAAATTCAGCATAAAGAGATGATATGGTGATAATCACACTGCATCACAGGAGGTATTGTGAAGATTAAATGAAACAATGCCTTTAATACTGTTAGCGCTTTCCATGGCACAGTGTTAAAAAAAAAAAAAAAGACAAAAGCCTTACATCCTAACTTGGGGTCCTTGGTCCTTGGGAAAACAAAGGGAATATCAAAGAAGATAAAGAAACAATGTGCCAAGCAGCATTGCAGACACTTCTCAAGCACATCACAGTGAGGTAGGTGATAATTATTGTTACAGTTTTACAGATGAGAAAACTGACACAGAGAAGTAACTTACCCACAGGGCAGAACTTAGATGTAAGGGTAGATACTCCAGCTGCAGGTGCTCTTGGGCACTTTGCTTTACTACTGATGTGTCCTAGCTGATCTGTTACTGTGCATTGCCACTGCCTGTAAGGGTTTATACACAGTAGAACTGCTGAGTAGTAACCGGCAGCTCTACAGGGCCCTGATTTGTAGCATTTTCCATTTTCCATGGTGTAAATATTCTTCCCATGATTGATTTCAAGCTGTTAACATGAAGTCACTGCATGAGGGGCTAGGAACAAATGCATACAGTGAGCTCTTGCAAGCTGGTAGGGTCCCAGCCATACCATTGGCAGGTCATTCCATGTCTCATCAATTCAGCTTTACAAGCAGACTGGATCTCTGCTGGCACCAGTCCTCCAGAATCAGGGCCACTCAAAGTGCAGGAGCCAGGTCCCAGTGGGCAAAACCAGGCCACAGCACTCCTGATCTGTCCTTTGTTGATAGAACCTTCAGGCTGAGTGCTGGCACTAGTCCTATGAATCACATGGCTGTTCCTAAAGCCGACAGCAGACAACAGTCCTTTTTCTTAGGACAGGTTCTCACTTTGGTGCCCAGGCTTTCCTTGAACTCTTAGACTCAAGAAATCCTCCTACCCTAGCTTTCCACTGAGAACTACAGGAACACATCACCACTCCCTGCTTTGAAAGCATCTTTAAAATGCAGAGTTTAAATAGTGTCTTACTTGTCATGTGCCATGACAGAGAAGATATAGCTTGGTTGTAGAACACATGAGAGTCTGGATTTGATTTCTAGCACCAGAAAAAGGAAAAGAAAAGCTATAATTATAGTAATAATAATGGCAATAGTTAAGATTTATGATATGCCAAGCATATTGTTAAGTAAAATACAGTATCTTGTCTAATCCTCCAATGGTGCTATGAGGTAGGTATTATCCCCATTTTACAGATGAGGAAACTGAGGCACAGATTGATTAAGGAACATGTCCAAGTTTCCATAACTAATGAGAGAGGAGCTGGGATTTAATACCAGAGAAAGATCTAGAAGGCCAAACAGCCATCTGCTTACTGTCAACAGAGGTTGATCTGTGTGGCAGTGTGATTCATATGGGACTCTTTTTATATTAGACATTTCTGTAAAGTTTGAGTTTTTGTAATAACTACTGCTTTTTCTATTTAAAAAAAAAAATCCAGACATTAGAATACTGCTTTCAGAGGCTGTGTCTTAGTCCTGACATCAAAGCTTCTTCTCTCATCTTTTCCTTTGTCTCAATTCCAGACTCAGAAGAACAACCAATAGAATTCTGGCTTCCTCTTGCTGCAGCAGCAACATTTTAGGATCAGTGAACGTGTGCGGCTTTGAACCTGATCAAGTCAAAGTTCGAGTGAAGGACGGAAAGGTGTGCGTGTCGGCCGAGCGGGAGAACAGGTATGACTGCCTCGGATCGAAAAAGTACAGCTACATGAACATCTGCAAAGAGTTCAGCTTGCCGCCGTGTGTGGATGAGAAAGACGTAACGTACTCCTACGGGCTGGGCAGTTGTGTCAAGATCGAGTCTCCATGCTACCCCTGCACGTCTCCCTGCAACCCCTGCAGCCCCTGCAACCCGTGCAACCCCTGCAACCCCTGCAACCCCTGCAGCCCCTGTAGCCCTTGTGACCCCTGCAATCCCTGCTACCCCTGTGGAAGCCGATTTTCCTGTAGGAAGATGATCTTGTAAAGTGTACATTAAGAAACCATGTCTTAGCCAAGTCAGGTACTCCAGCCAGGCAGCTCTTCCAGCATTTCTCTTCCCCTTCCCATGGCCCATTTTGTATAAGTACGTAGGAAGCTAAATACATAACTGCAATCCACTGTGTTGTGTGCAAGTCTTTTGGTTCGACATACTAAGCCAGCAGTTAGAAGAAGAATGGATGCAAACAGAAGGTGAGATGGTGGGATGGTGAGGTGCCCTCCTGTGCCCTCCATACCTGATGACCTCCAAACTCCTGGAGGTAACCATAGCCACTTTCTAAGTGATCCAGTGAAATGGTCCAGTCCAGAAACAGCACATCAAAGCAGAAATGGAGTAGTTAGGGCTCAAGGCAGTGCTTTCTCAAAGCTGCTGGAGTGACAGGTGATGGAGAGACAGCACCTTCCTGAGTCCACGGGTTGGGGATTTTACTGGAGTAATCGATGAGAGCTCAAAAGTATGGTGCACAGTGAGCATGTTCACCATCCAAGGGTGGGACAGCATACAATTCATCTTGTTTCAACATTCCTGTGATTTTTTAAATTGTCCCGCTCTCATCAGAGGCTTGCCACCTCTTTGGAATTTATTGCAACTATTTACTTTTTTAAATTCCTGAAACTGGCTTTAGGCACAGAAGTTCAAAGTTCAGGAGTGGAAAAGTATAGCTTTAACACAATGATGGTGTAGTTCCCCTAAACATGGATCCTAATGGCCACAGCCCTTGAGCCATTCTTGCTTGCTAGGGTAGAAATAGGTGTAAAAGAAGAAAGAAAGCTGGGCATGGGTGGCTCACATCTGAAAACCTAACTACTCAGGAGGCAGAGATCAGGAGGATTGCGGTTTGAAGCCAGCCTGGGCAAATAGTTCGAGAAACCCTGTCTTGAAAAAAATCCATCACAGAAAAAGCCTGGTAGAGTAGCTTAACGTGTAGGCCCTGAGTTTAAGCCTAGTACTGCAAAAAAAAGAAGAAAGAAAAAGATGATGATGGAGAGGGATCAGATGGAGAGGCTGGTTTCAAACTGGCTCTTGCAGGGAGCATAAAACCCTCAGATTTGCAAAACAAGTCTTCATTTGTCTCAGCTGCATTAGGATTAATATAGGTTACCATTTTCAGTGTTTGATGTAGAAAAATTACTTGAAGTTTAAAAACAGAAATTCCAGGGCTAGGGATGTAGAGTGGTAGAGTGCTTGACTAGCATGTACAAGGCCCTGGATTTGATTCCCCCCAAAAAAGTCAAAGTAAAAAGGTTAGAAAATTAGACAATTTTAAAAAGAAAAAAATACAGATGCCAGAGTCCCATGTCACAGAAGTTCTAATATAATGGACTCAGAGACAGCCTGGCCATCATTTTGTGAAAGCTTCCTCAGGTAATGTGAGCACACAACTGAAAGCAAGAAGCTTTGGGTGAAATCTTAACGCTCTCCCAGCATCTTCTGTAAAAGCTTCAAATTCAAGGTTGAAATATATTGATAGTTGATAGCAGACATTTTGCTTTCAATTGAGGGAAGTAATGGCCCTCTAATACAGGTGTCAAATAAAAAAAATTGAGCTTTTCCAAGATTTTATTTCTTAGCAACTAGGTATAAATGCATATGTTTATGTGTACCAAATTGTATAGCCACCCTTACAAGTGTCTAATCCATGTTTTGGTTACACATTTATAAATATTTTAGTTTTTAAGTTACAAGTTTTTTAAATGAAAATTTTTCAGCCTGTAAAGTGAATTTTAGCCTGTAAAGTCAATGGACTCTCACTGGGTCCTTCACCCCTGAACAAGTGGAGACCTCTGCCCAACCCCCTCCAGGGCACTTCTAAGGAACTGTCTGTCCACTGTCGTCTTCACCCATGCAACCACTCACTCTCCCAGTAACCCATTCATTCGTCTACCAGCCTGCCAACCAGATACTACTTGAAATTTCAGGTAGTGTGCTGCATCATAAGGATGGAGAGAGATACTCTTTCCTAAATGCTTCAAATTAAATTCAAGGAGGGGTGCCATGGGAGGGATGGATGGTGGAGAATGGGAGGGTCCAAAGAAACTGAACATGCAAGGGCTGGGAGAGGCCAGGGGAACCTTCCATACTGGCCACAGTCATTTCCACGGTGTGCATTGTTGACATCACTGCCCTTAGGACACCTCAGGGAAGCTGCAGAGAATTGGTTACCATGTCTCACCATCCTCGTGGGGAAAGACTTGATAGGACACGTGTTTATTAACCTGCTCTAGTGGGGCACATGCCAGGTCCGTAAGTACCTTCCTCAGAATTTCTGTACGGTAAGACTACTGCCTGCAGTTTGATTGCCAAAACATTTGACAGTGTGTAGTCAGAACTGCACTGTCTAGGAGCATGTTGAACACAGAAGGGCAAGTGGGATGATATCAGCCAGAGGGGAAGGTGGGGCACTAGCCTTGGGGAGAGGTGCCTAGTAGGGCTTGTTCCATAAAACAATTGAGAACAAAGGCGAAGTGGAAGAAGAAAGAGGAGATGTTTGCTGTTTTAAAACTTTGGCTAGACAGGTGGACCCTGGGCTTGGACAGCTCTGCCAAGGTCTTGAATGCAGTTTTTCAGATCAGAGTCCAACACAAACAGCCGCCTCCATTTGTCTGGAGGGGAGAGGGAAACGGGTGACTCTGGAATGAACAGAGACAAGAAAACAGCTCAGCTGGGGGAATTGAAAGATGAGAGAGGCTGTATTTCACTGTCCACATATATGTAACCAATGAATGTAAAAATCAGGTAAATACACCACCTTCTAATAACACACTTGGTAAATACTGTAGGATTAAGGTTGGAGATGAAGATAAACTTAGTGTTCATGGAATATATCCTAGAGCTAAAGAACTATTTAATTGTATTATGAATAAAAAGTTTCTCAAGTTTAGGATTGTGAAACCTGGTTTTCAGGGTTTTTTGCCATTAAAATACATTTTTTCTTAACACATTCTATAAACTTTGATTAGTAGATACACTATTAGGTCTCAAACAGGCAAACAATTTATCCCATATTGGGAAAAAACAAAGTTGTGATGGTAATATAATGAATTAGTATAGCTTCTCCCCAAAAAGAGGTTGAAAGTTAAGATATTTGAAGTGGTGCATTCTTGAATTCAGTTCAATTTTACCTGATGACCTAATGTTCTAGATCATTAAAGCCTAGAACAACTTCATAAGGGATATGAAAGCTAGATTTATTTGCTACATTAATCTTGTTGGACGTGAGTACAAGTACTAGAATCAGAAAGAGATGAAAGATACTTTTTTACCTGATTAAGGTTTTACTACACAGGGTGAAAAATTCCACTTTAATCTTCGTAGTTCAACTAATAAAAGGTCTCAATTCAGACACACTTTGGTCAAGTTTAGCTTTATTATGTCTAAAAACTTCTTATATAAAACAAGCATCAGGGGCTGGTGAAGTGGCTCAATCGGTAAAGTGCTTGCCTACCAAGAGTGAGGCCCTGAGTTCAAATCCTAGTACCACCAAAAAATAAAAATCACTCCAAAACTGGCTTGAAATGCTCATTAAATAAATAAATAAATCATGCATCAGTTCAAATACACATTGCTGTTTAAGAAGAATCTGCATATAATATAAAAAGAATTAAATTTGGTGGAAAGGAGACGATAAAACTGCCTGAAACTCAGAAAATGTAATGTTCGTGTACATTACATTACCATTAGGTACAGCTGCTCCCCAGGTATCCCGGCTACTGTTCAGACCAGAGATACTCATCCTGCATGTCCTAATTCGTGCTAAGTGGTGCCTGTCTGGCACTGCAAAAAATCCTCCTGGTCCCACTTTTCTTTCCTTTCAAAAGAAGCCTTATAGCCATCAATTCTGAACTATCAGGTGGTTTTTTTGAAGTTTGGTTTTTTTTTTTTTTGGCAGTACTGAGGTTTGAACTCAGTGCCTTATGCTTGCTAGGTAGGCGCTCTACCTCTTGAGCCACTCTGCCAATCCTGGAGATTTTTTTTTCCTATTGAAAATCTTCATTACAGGCTATGCGCCAGTGGCTCACTTCTGTAATACTAGCCACTCAGGAGGCAAAGATCAGGATCACAGATCGAAGCCAGCCTGAAGCAAATACTTTGAGAGGACCTATCTCGAAAAAACCCAATACAAAACAGGGCTGGTGGAGTGGCTCAGGTGGTAGAGCACCAACCTAGCAAGTGTGAGGCTCTGAGTTCAAACCCCAGTGCCATGAAAAAGAAAATATCTTAACTATAGGTTCAGACATACAACCTTTCCAGTAGTGTAGACTTCTTCAAAGTGTAAAATCAAGAGGAAATGAAGTTTCTGTTAGGACCCGGAATCCTATTCCCCCGGGAGACAGAGAGCCAGGCGAGAATGCAATCAACAAAGCAGAGTTTATTGGGCTGGCTAGCCAGGGTCGAGCTCCCACACGGACACGCAGGACCGGTTAGGAAAACACGACCCTGAGCCTCTTTAGGGGAAATCTTATATAGACTGCGGTGGCATGCATATTTTCGTTATCAACATTGGGCAAGCAGGCAGAGCACATCTTGCGCGTACCTCACATCTTGCACGTACTTCACATCTTGCTTGTACCCCCCACTCACATTCCCCACATTCTATATGCCCTAACTGAGCCCTGCCGCATTGCTTATCTTATCTACATGGGATGTTTGGTACTGGTTTCTCCAACAAGGAGGTTGGGGCCCGCTGAGACCTCCTATTCCTTTCATTCCCCCCTTTTCTTATGGCCTAAATTGAGGAATCATTCTCAAGGGGATGAAGAGCCTGATATTGTTGGCGGAGGACCAGAAGTTGGATAGTATTAATTCGACTTTTGACAAAAGTCATAAGTCGGTTTAGAATCCAGGGTCCTATGGTAACAAGTAATAGGATGATTATTATTGGCCCTGCCAATGCAGATAAAAGGGTAGCCAACCATGGGGACTGGTTAAACCAAGACTCGAACCAGCTTTCCCCGGCCTCTCTTTCTCGTTTTCTTTGTTCCAGGCTCTTTCGAAGTTTAGACATGGAGTCACGAACAACTCCGGTATGGTCAGCGTAAAAACAACATTCTTCCCCTAGAGCAACACATAGTCCCCCCTTTTGGAGGAACAACAAGTCCAGACCTCGTCGGTTTTG